GAGGTTCCTGGCAGTGACCGAGCCTTCCCCCTCGCCCTGCAGCCGGCACCGCTTTTCCTTTCGGTTTCTGTTCAGCATTTGAAGCCTTGGCCTGCAGGCGGGCAGAGCTAGACCGAAATGCGGTGCCAGCCTCGCCGTGTTTGCTGCTCAAGTAACTCTGCTCGTTACCTCAGCGGTCTGCCTAGAAAAGAAATGCCAAAATTCGGGCAGGCTAAGCAGAACTTCCTTTAGAAAGGTTACGCTTAAACTTCTCTCCTGCTAAAGCTTTCTCTTACAGTCGCTGTTCAGAGCGAGGATTGCATGAGAAGTGGCTTTTTTCATTGCTTTGTGGGGCTTTTTCGGAAGCTTTTTCCCTTGTTCACCAAACGGATAGCCCTTTTATTTTAATAAATCAGGCTTAAGAGAACACTCAGAATCTCCTAGCTCTGTATTACTTGCTTAGATGCCTAAGCAGGCAAATTTTATTTAATTTCCAAGCAGGTATGCACAGCAACAGCCTTGATTTTAAAAATTCTAAACAGAGAATGAAGACTTAAAAAACAAAACACACACTACCACCACCACCACCCCCCGTTTTACTGATCCACACTGGAATATAGTAGCGAGCTGTTGACTTATTTTGGTAAATGTATCGCGGTGCTTCTCCTAATTTGAGTCTGCTGAATCCTTGTAAACAGAATCTATGGTATGGCATCGCCTTAAGTTGAATACGGCGCCGACATAACGTGACCGCTAGCCAAGCGAGGGGGAATTCAAGGATATCTTGGCTGTAGGTAGCCCGGCTTTTCCCTGGCTGACAGCTCAGTTTGGAGACCAGCCAGGGAGCGTTGGAAGCTGCCAAAGGAATTGCCACTGATTTTGCCCTTGCAATGGGAAAATGGGACAGTGAGCGAGGAAAGCGTTGGGGATTCTTAAGCGGAAACACCGCCACCTGAGGAGAAAGTAGATTGGGGAAAGAGGACCCTGATTTTATAAGTAAATTTTTCAGTGTTTTAGGAAGAGAGTTTTCCTCTCTGCAGCACGCTCCTTTAACTTGAAGCTGCTGTACTTTCTGTGTTTGGCTTGTACAGCAGCCAGCCTTTTCCCTTGATAGCTGTGTGCCACATCCAGCGTTTTTTGTTTTCCAGGGATATTAATAACTCAGAAGATATCCTGCTAGGTGCAGGCTTCAGGTCTTAACCTCATTTTATTCAAATACAAGTCGTCAATCGCTCCCTAATGTGGCAATTGGGTGCCTTTCTTTTAAACTTCCTCTTAGGGAAAAGAAGTCCATGACTTAGCATACTTGGGTCATTAACAGTCACAAAATGTCAGTCTTAATGGGAATGTAAACTTGGCACAGAAATAAAGTAATCTTTATTACTTCACTAGGGTATTGTATAGCTGAAAGGAATGCAGGTTTCTTGAGGTAAGAGTGAAATCAGGACCTTTTTGCATGTAGTCAATCAAGGATTAAGGCCTCAAATTGTTGCTGCCATTTCTTTTCTGCTTACTGAAAGCGGAAATGAAACCATTGTTACACTCGGCGCTGCGTGTTTTAATCTTGCACGGTTTTACATGTTGGGGTCCTGCTGTTGTTGAGATATTTCATTATAACTTCATGGTAAAGCTTTATGCCCACTGTGTGCACGGAAAAGATTTTTTTTTTTTTTAAAATGGTGTTTAAAATGCAAGGCAGATGTTTTTTCTGCTTTAATTTTCTTTCTTTCTGTCCCTCCCTGTGCTTTTTTACATTTAGTGTTGAGAGGCAAAATGGTCCATGCCGAAGCATTTTCACGTCCCCTGAGCCGGAATGAAGTGGTTGGATTAATTTTTCGCTTAACCATATTTGGTGCTGTAACGTATTTTACCATTAAATGGATGGTTGATGCCATTGATCCGACCAGAAAGCAGAAAGTAGAAGCTCAGAAACAGGTAGGATTTTATTCATAGCATTTCACAGAAATATTTGTCTCATTCATTACCGTTCATCCAGAGAAATCTGCTAACTGAAAACTGGGCTTGCAATAACCAACAAAGTAATTGGCAAAGGCATGTGGAATAATCATCAAAAAACTGGAATTATCTTTACTAAGTCTCGGGATCTAGGCTGTTAGCATTTTTTTTTATATCTTTTACATTTTACATACATTTTACATTTTATAACAAGTTAAAATTTGTAGCCTGAAGCGGCGGAAAAACTGTTGAGCTGTAGTGCAATGTTGTCTCTAATTATCTGCAAGTGTGTGGTCCCAGTGCCGTTTCTGCTTCTGACAACTTTGCTAAGCAGCAGTCACATTAAATAATGCTCTCATCAGTCTCGGTTGCTTTTTAAAACCTTGAGCAGAAATAACTTGATTCTCTGCTGCTTTTTGGCAACTTAATGGCAGAGGCAGGGACTGTAGTTACTCATGACAAAGACAAACGCTGCTGTCCAAATGCCTTTTTAAGAATAGCTTGCACTTTGTCCCTCTCCCTCTGTTCTGCCCCCACTTCCAGTAGCAGTCAAAATGCCCTGGAAAGGGGAGAAAAATAGTGAAAAGCCTCATTCCTTATGTGGAACTAGAATGATTCATGGGGGTTAATGCTCTGGGAAAAGATTTAGGTGCATTTCGGAACCAGAAGTTAAATGTTTCCTCTGGAAAGTATTGAAGGAAATGTTGCAACTTTTTTATTTTTGTTTTCTGGCTGACACAAATTTCACAGATTCAAATGGCAGTTTTGAACAAACTAATTCTCTTTTGGGCGGTTTTTCTTTTTTAATGAAATCTTTAGTTAAAAAATTGGCCCCACTTTAAAAATCAGCTTTCACAATCTCTGCTATGCCAGCTATTATATAAGAGGTTGCAATATCCCAAAAGCATGTCAGGCTTAACCGCAAGTTTGAGTATAAAGAGAAACTGAATTGTGAAAGTGTGTTGACACAACAAATTACTTTTCCTTTTAAATTGGGAAAAAGAAAACATTGAATATGTAGGAAAAAATTGACTGGCTTCTGTAAACTTTTGTTCCCCCCCCCCCTTAAAAATATATTAATCTCTCCTTGGTACAGTGCTGTGGAGGTTTGGGGCGGGGGGCATGTGCTTTTTATAACAACACAGTTATATCACCCATTAAAGTGTGTGTGTGTTATTTGCAGGGTTGTGAATGAAGATAGTTAAGCATATGAAAGAACTCCAGAGTTCTATTTAATAACAAGTTTCACGCTTTTCATCTGAATCCTATAGAAAGTTTGTAAGGACTAATGGGCTTTTTTTTTTTCAAGTGTAACATACCTGTATCAGCTTTGGAAAATCCTGTAGAGGTTATGGAAACGATTTTGTACTGAGGTTACCTGTGTGTCTGCAGACCTGTTCTAAAAGCAAACTCTGTGTTTTAATGTTTATTTTGGTTGCTTTTCAGGTCATAACGTATGACTGGTGGATCTGGGGGTGGGAGGGCTGGTGTGACACTTATCTCATGGGAACTGAGACATATGACTTAGTTTCACTCAAGTGACAACAAGTCATTAGGAAATAGCAGAACCTTTTACTTCAGAAAGATTTAACCTCTTTTCAGATGTGACTTAATGGAGAAGCTTTTCAGACTCCGAATAGTAGTTCTTTAAAAACTAATTTTTGAATTAAACATTTCATTTATTTCTCTGGTTTTCTTGGCGTTTTGTTTCCCCCCAGGCTGAAAAACTAATGAAGCAAATTGGAGTGAAAAACGTCAAGCTTACTGAATACGAAATGAGCATTGCTGCACATCTTGTAGACCCACTTAGCATGCATGTAAGAAACTGATTTGTGTGTTACTCTGATGAAAGCACTTCAGAAGCGGAAGATCGTGATTTTTGACTTTGGATTACATTATTTGCCATAATATGTATATGTATCTATGGAAATACATAGAAAGTATTTCTGTAGTTTAAAACTAAAATTGCATTGTTGAGAGCAGAGGGTTTTTTAATCACTTGTTTTTTTTTTTTAAATTTTGAGGCCTTGTGCTACTTTTAAGCTTGTGGATATTTTTTGTTGGCAGGGACTATGATGATCATTTCTTCTAATACTGTTTTTCCTTATTAGGTAACCTGGAGTGATATTGCAGGCTTAGATGATGTTATTACAGATTTGAAAGACACTGTCATTTTGCCCATCAAGAAGAAATACTTGTTCGAGAATTCCAGGCTTTTACAGCCACCAAAAGGTAGGAAGGAAATGTTACAGATTTATGTTGGTATTTAAAAAAAAAAAAAAAAAAAAAAAAGTTTTGTTTGTATTAAAAAAAAAAAAAAAAAAAAAAAAAAGTTACTGTTACCCAGAAAGGAAAGAGGAAGTCTGTTGCCAGTCCAAAGTGCAACCATTAGGACTGGTGCCAGGGAAAACCCTCAGGTTTTTCCTCTTCACTTGCCATGAAATCAAGTTCTAGAAAATAAGTTTCATCTTAATAATGAAGTGATAATTGCTTTTCAGTTATTGATGTTACATTTTGGTGCACTAATCTATATAGCCCGCATTTTTAACTGCTTAAATTGTTGATTTTTTTTCTTCTTATACCCCATCTTGTCCTTTGGCAGAGGTGAGCTGTAACTCTGCTGTGCAGCTTTGTACGCTTTGTTAATATTTCTACAGTGTCATAGAAACATAACTCATAAACATGAGACGTCAATGTAAGCTAATCTTGCAGACATCTCTCTGTTTTAGTAGTAGAAATTCCAGTCATTCAAAGAAACAGAGATCCCATTTTTATTCTGGAGATCCCTTGATTTTTCTCTTGGAGCTGAGTTGCACAGTACTGATGCAGTAAGGAAGCCGGCAGGTGACAAATTAACTTTCCAGCAGTAAAACAGAAGCTGGACTCTCTGCTGGAATGCTTACAGCCGTATTTGCTGTATGTTACTGCGAACAAGCAAAATTTGAACATAAAATGTTGGACAGAATGCCAAAGTTTATCTTTACTGCTCTGATCCCTGGAATATTGTCTTCTGAAAGTTCTCTGAAAACTATTAATTACTGCTTGTATCTGTGACCATCTCGGTTTTGTGTCCTGAGTGATGGAAAATGAAGCACTTTTGTAACTGGCTTATTTTTTCCAGGCTGCTTTCTGTTTAAGTCACAAATTGAAACTGTCTGGAAAATTACTTTAATGTCATGATCTAATAAGCGGAAGGAAAAAATTGTTTTTTATTTATCTTTTTAAAGCAGACTTTCCATATAGGGCAAGCTCCCCGGTTTTATTAGTGGCTTGCACTATGTGTTAATAGGAAGTCATTGCTTCAGAGTAATTATGTTTGTGGTTGTCAGTCACATAAACAGAAAAAAAAACCCAACGTAGGAATTCTCTGTGTTTCAGGTGTGTTTGACTTTTTTTTTCTAAATTGTTTTCTTTACAACTGTGTATAGAAAAAAACACTACTGTGGATTCCTTCACTATGACAAGCTTAAAAATAATATGAGATGTCATATTTAATTGTGGGTAATTTGTTAAAAATGTTTGTGGGCTTTTTTTTTTTCTTCTACCTCCTCTGTGCTAAATTTTATTAGCAGTGCTGAAACTGCCTATAAACAAGGCCTGTGAAATTCTTATAGGAAGTAAATAGGGTTTTAGTTTTATGTAACCTTTATAGTTGCAGTAATAAAACAGCCACCTTTCAGACAAATGTCTCCCTTCAGTTTCACTGTATCTGCTTTTAGATTTTATAATAATGATATCTTAAATAACTCTGTATTTGATTTGATGGAGCACTGTGCAACTTGGTGTCTTATCTTTTAAAACCTGGATAAAATACAAACCTGGACACTCAGGTCTGTCATACCAAAGCATATTTTCTGTACAGCAGCCAGAGAGCACTGACACTGTTACTTTTTCAGGAGTACTTCTCTATGGCCCTCCTGGTTGTGGCAAAACGCTGATCGCCAAAGCTACGGCAAAGGAAGCAGGTTGTCGATTTATTAATCTCCAGCCTTCAACACTGACAGACAAATGGTATGGAGAGTCGCAAAAACTGGCTGCTGCTGTCTTCTCCCTTGCTATAAAGCTCCAACCATCCATCATTTTTATTGACGAAATAGGTAAAAATCTATCTTTTTTTGTAGCAGAGTGACGTTAAACTGTGGGTTCAAGTTGATGGGTATATTGATCTACTGTCATCTTTTCCTTAAAAAGAGTGATAATGGGACAAGGTTTTGTAATATAAATAGCACTGTAAAGTAACAGTGGCAAATTAGGAAAAACAGTGTATTTCTTCCTCGTGTTAGTGGAGGAAGTTACAAGTAGAACGAGTTGCTGCTTATTTTTGGTTGGGCTGAGGTGGTTCATGAGGAGAGCTTTTCTTCTGTCAAGAGAACTACTTATTCAGGAAACCCATCACCAAATACTCTTCTAACGCTTCTGCCGTGAGGGTGCATAATGGAAAATAAAATACAGGTTTAGGAGAGCTCCGGAATAATAGTTTAATAAGGCTGAAGAAGTAGGAGGGGAAGTTCAGCTAGGAAGGCAGCAAAGGTGCCAGTTGTTCAGTGCATTTGGCCTTGTCACATTAGTGTTTAAGTCCCTGTGGACTTGAGCAGTTCAGTTAAAATTGCTCGTAGCACTGGTGCTTCTTAGTATTCAGGAAACCCATCACCAAATACTCTTCTAACGCTTCTGCCGTGAGGGTGCATAATGGAAAATAAAATACAGGTTTAGGAGAGCTCCGGAATAATAGTTTAATAAGGCTGAAGAAGTAGGAGGGGAAGTTCAGCTAGGAAGGCAGCAAAGGTGCCAGTTGTTCAGTGCATTTGGCCTTGTCACATTAGTGTTTAAGTCCCACAGGGACTTGAGCAGTTCAGTTAAAATTGCTCGTAGCACTGGCGCTTCTTAGAGCGAGTTGTGCAGTTTGCAGAAACAGAGCCTGATGAAGCTTTTACCCTTCCCACAGTTTAGGTTTATGAAGGGGCTATGTTCTTAAGGTGCTCTTTCTCCTTTTGTATAGGTGTGAAAAATGTGGTATTTTTCTAGCTGTTGGAAATTCTTTAGGCAACCACTAGCAGAATTAGAGCTCTGCATAACAAAGTGTATAGCCTACTTCACTTAAGTTCTTCAGCTTGCTGTTCTCCTGTGCTTTGGTGTCTTCTAGCTTGCCAGACTCTGAATGCTTCCATCTCTGCATGAGAAATTAAGGTGAAAGTTACACTTTCCGTGAATTCAGGAAAGTGAAAATTTGGAGGACAAGATTTGGGACAATCTCATGTCATAGGTGCAGACTCATGTAAAGTAATTTAAAAGATATGCTTAAAAATATGGTGAGGTTCCGCTTTCCTATTCTTCATTGTAAGAAATACTTCTCATTGGTTGACAATGTTTATTAAAAAAAGGATTTATAAGATAGAGAATAGCACAAGTCTGCACATGAGAAATCAAACAGCATGGTTTCTATGGCAGGGTTGAAAGTAAACTGCTTTACTGAATTCTTTAATACAGATTCCTTCTTAAGAAGTCGATCGAGTTCTGACCATGAAGCTACAGCTATGATGAAAGCTCAGTTCATGAGTCTGTGGGACGGACTGGACACCGATTATAACTGCCAAGTAAGTACAGAGGATGACGAGAAAAGTAATGTGATTTTTTTTTTTTTTTTATTATTTCCCCCCCTCCTGATTATTGTGCATTGAGCCATTTGGGAAGAGCAGCAGATTGTGTGTAGTAATCATTGCCAAAAGAGTTTCTTTACCTGTCAGTGTTAGTGATTACCAATATATTATGGGAATGAGATGAGTTATATTAATAGATCATTTTTCTTCCTGAGAAGACTCTTTTTGTAGGTATTTTGGTTTTAATTAGGACATGTTATTTTCAGAAGTGTCTTAAGTCACAGTAATATAGCTCTATAGTTTGAGCTGCCAAAACTGGGAATTTTGAAACTGTTTTGAAAAACATTTTGTCAACAATATTTTCTTCAGGTGAAGTGAATCTTTGATTTCAGGAAGGGTATTGAAAGATCTGAGTATTCTTCCCAGTTGCAGGTTGGTTGATTTGTTTCCAGAAAAGCATTAGATAAGCACTAGACTCTGGAGTTAATCTGAAAGGGTAGAGAAGTTGATGTTATCAAAAGACAAATTCTATTAAATGGAGCCGTGCTTTCATACTGTTATTCCTGTATGCTTCTGTCCCCCTCCCATAATCTCAACAGAAGTATTGTATTTTGGAAAGGGGGGGGGGAACTGCTGGTGCGGTAAAAACAAACAAACAAAAAAACATTTATGAAATAAATGACTTGAATGTAGCATAGATGAAAGCCTTCTTGGTATGTTTCTGAACTGTCACCTGGAGCAGTCTTTTCAAGGCCTTTAAAAATTATTCTTCAATTTTAAAATTTTCAGCCTTTTTAATCTGTATTTTTCTGTGAATGGGTTCCAATGCTCTGACCTCCTTTAGTTCTTTCTTTGTAAAATCTGCTTTTCCTCCTCTCAGACTTGTGCTAAAGGTTTTTTTTCCCCCCAGTTGATTTTTTAAAAAAACTGATTAGAACACAGTGAATATATATACTGAGGAGTATAGAGTCATAGAATCATTTAGGTTGGAAAAGACCTTCAAGATCATCCAGTCCAACCATTAACCTAACACTACCAAGTCCACCACTAAACCAAATAAGGGGGGAGTAGCAATTTCATTTTTCCTGGCTTGGGGGCTAGATTATTTAATGCAAGTAAAAACTAGGAATCATTAAGATTGGAAAG